GCGGGGCTCGATCCCAGGACCCTGGGATAATGACCTGAGCTGAAGGCAGATGCTTAAGGACTGAGCCACCTAGGCACTCCTCCTTGTTGATCTTCTGCTTAATTGATCTATCCATTGCTGTAAGTGGGGTGTAAAGGCCTCCTCCTATTATTGTATTATTATCAGTGAATTCCTTTATGTTTGTTATTAACTGTTTTATATATTTGGATGCTCCCAAGTTGGGGGCATAAATATTTGTTGTAGTTTCATTTGTTGTATTGTTGTAACTTCTTGTTGGATAGACCCCTATATTATGATATAATGTCCTTTGTCATCTCTCATTGCAGTCTTTTGTTTAAAATCTAGTTTGTCAAAATAAATAAATAAAATAAAATCTGTTTGTCTGATATAAGTATGGCTACTCCAGCTTTTTTGGATGTTCACTAGCATAATAAATGGTTCTCTATCCCCTCATTTTCAATCTCCATGTGTCTTTATATCTAAATTAGTCTCTTGTAGGCAGCACATAAATGGGTCTTGTTTTTTTATCCATTCTGACACCCTCTGTTTTTTGATGGGAGCATTTAGTCCATTTACATTCAGAGTTTTGATTGATAGATATGAATTTAGTGCCGTTGTATTACTTGTTAAGTTGTTTCTGGAGATTTTCTCTGTTCCTTTCTAGTCTTTGTTGCTTTTGCTTTCTCTTTCCCACTGAAAGAATCCCCTTTAATATTTCTTGCAGAGAAAGGAAAACTAAAGGAAAAAACTAAAGGAAAACAATCCTTTAGTTTTTGTTTGTCTGGGAAACTTTTTCTGTCCTTCTAATCTGAATGACAGCATTGCTGGATAATGTATTCTTGGTTGCATATTTTTCCCATTCATCACACTGAATATATCATGACACTTTCTTCTGGCCTACCAATTTTCTATGGAGAGGTCTGCTGCTAACCTTGTTTGTCTTCCCTTGTGTATTAGGAATTTCTTTTATCTTACTGCTTTGAAGATTTTTTTCCTTATTTCTATATTTTGCAAAATTTATTATGATATGTGTTGGTGTTGGCCTGTTTTTGTTGATTTTGATGGGAGTTCTCTGTGCCTCCTGGATATAGACTTCTGTTTCCTTCCTCAGAATAGGGAAGTTTTCAGCTATAATTTCTTCAAATAAAGCTTCTGTCCCTATTTCCCCTCTTCTTCAGGATGCCTATGATAAAAAAAAAAAAAAAAAGGATGCCTATGATATGAATGTTATTACACTTTATGCAGTCACTGAGTTTCTTAAGTCTACTTCTGTAATCTAATATTTTTCTTTCCTTCCTTTTTTCAACTTCATTATTTTCTATAATTTTATTATCTCTCCCTTTTTTTGAGAGAGAGAGAACACATGTGAGCCAGGGGAGGAGCTGATGGAGAGGGAGAGAGATATCTTAAGCAGACTTCTTGCTCAGTGTAGAGCCCAACACATGGCTCAATTTCATAACCCTGACATTATGACCTGAAACAAAATCAGGAATCAGATGTTAACCAACTGAGCCACCCAAGCACCCCTCCCTAATTTTAATCTTCCATATCACTTATTCATTCTTCCATTTCTTCCATCTTGTGGTCATTACATCTGGTTGGTTTCACATCTCAGTTGTTATAGCATTTTTTTATTTCATCCTAATTTTTAGGTTTTTTTTTTTAATCTTTGCACTCCCAAGGAACCCACTGGTGTGTTCTATGCTTTTCTTAAGCCTAGCTAGTATTCTTATGATTGTTATTTTAAATTCTGGGTCAGGAGTATTACTTATTTCTGTTTCAGTTAGATCCCTGGCCATGACCTTTTCTTGTTTTTTTTCTTTTGGGATGAATTCTTCTATCTTGGCATTTTTGTTTAGGTCTGTCTTCTCTGTGTTAGGAAAGCCTGTTATGTTTCTTGCTCCTGGGAATATGGCTTTATTAAGAAGAGGTCATACACTGTCCAGGGCCTGGTGCTTCAAGAAGTGTTTCTGGTATGTGCTATGTGCACTCTGCTGCTGTGTCTGGCTGCTTTTCCTCAGATCAGTTCTCTGCAGAGTTTCCTCTTGCCTGCAGTGGGCAGCATTTGGACCTTAGCCAGAATGTGGTGAGTTTTAAGTAGGTGTGCTCAGATCTGATTGTTAGAAGAGATCTGATGCTATTTCCACTGCAGCTGAAGTGTTGGCAACACTCTATACTCAGTAGACTTCATGCATTTGGGGGTTCATGCTGGTCTGGGGGAGGTGACTGCTGCTCTGATTCTCAGGCACACTAACCCTGGTAAAGCAGCACCTGCAGACTGCAGAGGGGTGGGGCTTGATGTAAGCAGTTTAACTCCTTATTGAAGTCAGTTTTATGCTGAGGGGTGGGGGGAGAAAATAGCACCAGCCCTCTCCCTTGTCCCTCGAAAAGGGAGTTCACACCCAGTACTGTCCAAGAAGCCCTCCCAAAAGAGCAAACAACCTCCCCTCATGCATTTCAGGCATTCCTTAGTTCCCTGCTTTCACCCTGTATGTGTCTGGGCTGTTTGCCCATCTGGTAGCACAGTGCACCTGTGTCTTACTCCAGACAGCCCAGCTGAGTTCTTAAATTCCAAACTTTAGGGACCTCACACGGTGTGGACCTGCACTGGTCCTCTGGGGGAGAGTCTTGCCATGCTAGTGCTGGTGCAGGTTTGTCCCAGAAGGGCAGTTGCACCAGTATGCAGGAGCTTGAAGTTTGGAGTAAAGCTAGCATAATGGTGCCCACCAACTCTTTTTGTCCTTAGAGGCAATGCCACCTCTCCCAGATGCACTCCTAGAAGGCGAGCCATCTCTCCCATCGTTTCCTAGGGGATCCTCAGATTACACTGTCAGCTCCCTGGCTTCTACCCTCCTTCTCTACAGCAGCACTGAAGTGACCACTGAGCTCAACACCAGCCAGGGCACAGACTTCTAAAACTCCTGTCTTTGAGCTTCATTCATGGTATCAATCCCTCTTATTTTCCAAGTCAATAGCTTTGGAGAAGTGTTTTCCTTGTGCAGTCCCCTGTTCATTCCCCCGCCTCCATAATCAGGGATCCCTCCCCTCCACTAACCCACTATCCTTCCCCCACCAAATCATTTCTTCAGACCTCCTTCCTCCCACAATGTGGCCTTTTCTCTCCCTCTAGTTGTTCAGTTTGTTCTGTCAGTCCTCAGACCAACTTCTTGGGTGTCCAGAATGATTTAATATTTATCTAGCTGTGTTCAAGGGAAAAGGAAAGCCTAGGGTCCTTCTACTCTGCCATTTTAGCTCCATCTTTTTGTCATATATTTTCAAAGCACCCAAACTAATAAGACACCACTGAAAAATTGACCTTCTCCTTGAAACCAGGTCCTCTTCTGTGGTTCCTATTTCTGCAAAGGACATCATTATGTAGTCAGATATGCAAGATGGAGACCTAAGAACCATCCTGATCCTTCTCATAATCTGTTAGTTTTCTTTTCTAAGTACTATTTTTTTTAAATCCTTTACTTAATTGTCATTTTATGTATTTTTTTGTTTCAAGTTTTAATTTAAATTCTAGTTGGCTAATACTAGTATAGTATTGGTTTCAGGAGTAGAATTTAGTGATTCATCATTCACATATTCTAAATACCTTTTTAATTCATTCACTTCTTTCCATGCCTATTCCCACTGTCTCATCCAGCTTAATGTTCTCTCTTACCTGATGTACAACAACAACCTAAACCTGATCTATCAGCTTCCACCTATGGCCCATATTCACCTGCAGCCAGAATGATTTTTGAACACTTTTAACCCTCCCTATTATGCTAAAGATAAAATCCAAATACCTTAACCTGCCTGTGAAGCCATACATAACCTAACCCTGTCTATTCTAGCCTCAGTTTGTGCCACCTTTCCTTCGCTGAAAGTTTTCCAACCTTATTGGCTTATTTTAATTCACTGAGGGACCCATGGACCTTTTTCCCAAAGGACCTTGCACATCCTATTCTCTGCTGGGAATGTTCTTCCCCACCTCTCCTCAAATAATTTGCTTCTGCATGACCTTTAGATCCTCTCTTCAGAGAATCCTTCCCTGGATTCCCAATTTAGTGAAATCCTCTGATTACTTCCACATAAGACCTGATATCATTCCTTCATAAATACTTGCAATCATTTTAATTTTCATTTATCTTACAATTATTATTTTTATTTTCTATTTCTCCCACTAGAGTCTCAATTCCTTGAATTCAGGGGACATGTCTATATTTGTTCACTTTATATATCAGATATCTATTATAGCATCTGCCATATAATAGGCACTCAATAAATGTTTGAAATAAAAAAATGAATGAACAAGTTTTTATAAAGACATACAACTCTAAAAGCCTAAAAACTTGAGGCTAAAAAGTTACAATTTGCAGCTATAGAAAGTTGTGATTTTTAAGAATACTCTGAAATATTTTAATCTCACAAAGGTAAATTCACCTAGTGAATATTTGAATTGAAATTAATTGAATAAAAGAATAAGGTAAATATCAACATTATCTTTAGTTTTTGGCATAATAAAAGTAAACTCAACAAAAATACATTTGCATCAATACCAACAAATTGGTATGGCATGCATTAATTCTAACCCAGGAAGATAATATGACATTTTGCAGATTATGTCACTAAACACTCAACATTCATTGTATTTATATAAGAAAAAGAAATAAATAAAACTGCAGGATATTATGAAAAGAACAATGACCTGTTAGCCAAGGAACCTAAAACTTAATTTCAGTTCTACCTTTAATTAATATTTTGACACTGAGCAAGTTCCTTCATATTTCTTGTAATCAGTTTAAAATTCATGATTTCTATATTCTGCCACCTCCCACAGTGTATGAATAAGTGATCATTCTCTTGACGGTGCCAAGAACTCTTTCGAGGGGCCTGACCCTATGAAGTTCTACCAGATCAACTGCTTAGAAATTGCCTAATCATAAAAATGGTTTATGTTACATTATTGCAAGTGAGAGGACATTTCAGAGCATTTTTGTTTTTAATTTCAGTTCAACTATATGATAGAACTTAAAGGGCAATGGTCTCACTGCATAAAATAATATTTCCCATTCCTCCTGGCTTGGAGTCTGGAAGAGTAATTGAGAACAGTATTTTGGAACTTCTAACCAAGTTACTATTGGTAAGTTCACTCTCTGATACTCCTTTCACTCCAGACGTATAGCAACGATAGATAAAAAATGAAAGGAGAAATATTAAAGAAAATAGCTATGCTAAAACACAGGATAAACATATCTCATATGGGGCTAAAGCCATAAACCCTGTTGGATTCTGTATCTGGAAGCCTGCTGAAGCAAACTGGAGTTATTATTCAGGAAAATGGCAAGAGTCAGGAGCCAAAATTGTTTAAAAAGAGCTCTAGATACAGTTTAGGGAAGTTACATAATGAAGGAGGTAGGAGAATAGGGTCTCGAACCAGGATATGGACCAGGATATCCTCTCAGAGATTATAGCTTCATTATATCTCACTCATCTTACTTAAGGAACCTGAGCTTCCAATTCAAGACTGGACCATTTTCTCAGAGCCTGGGCCACTGAAAACCCTCTAGAAATACTAATAACAAAATTAAAATTCAGGAAAAACACTGATAGCAAATGAAATTTAGAAATGACTTTAAATATGTATATGGTCTTCAAAGAAATAAATTGAGGAATGACATCCATGAAGGAATGGCATAACCATAATGAATAGGCAGAATAAAAATAAACTAGGAATTCTAAATAAGAAGATATTTAATTGAGAAAACTTAAGTGATATGAATTTTGTATTTGACACAGCTGAATAGAGAATTAGTAAGTAAATCTACTTCCTTTTGACAGGGTTTGAATGGTTGAAAATGTGGTAATATCTCCCCTACTTTTGGTGTAAGCTGTTTGATATCAGACACTTTCCATTCATTCATACAACAAATATTTCTTGGACACACTTTTGGTTTTGTTAGCTCAAAATGAATTTTTCTAAACAGCTTCTCTTTAGCTATGTGTTATCAAAAGCTGAAAGCTGGAAGCATAATTTCCTTCATTAGATAACTGCATTGAAATACAAGTGTCTAAAATATTTTTACTGTTCTAGTTTATCAAGGTTATCTTACAACTCAAAAATATGTAGTATTGCCTCATTGCATTGAGAGATGTTTTCATTTCTTGATGCAAATGTTCTCTATCTTTTAGGAAACTTTGAAATGGTTACTCCTAAATGAACCCATTTGTTTCATTTTCATATTTTACTTTTCAACTTTTTCCAGAGACTGGAAAGCTATATGCTTCCACCAAAATGGAAGTTCCTTGAAAGTTATGATTTTTTGTTGTTGTTGTTCAAGTAGCTAGACTAGTAGTTGGGTCATAGTAAACTCAATGACTATTTGTTGAAAAAGTAAGTAGTTCTTAAATAACACTTTTATTTTGAATTATACCAGGAATTGAAGTGGCTGGTGTTTTTATTATAGATCTCACTACATTGACTTAAATGCTATAAAAAGTTTCTTATATGTTTGTCTTTCTTAAGAATTGGGTGTTATATGCAAACAATGAATCAAGGAACACGACATCAAAAACTAATGATGTACTGTATGGCGACTAACATAGCACAATTTAAAAAATTAAATTCATATAATAATTTGGATTATTTAGCAGAAGAAACTGTCTGAAGCTAACTTGAAAGAGGAATTTATTGTTAGGAGAAGAGAGGTGCACAATCCGGTGACTGAAAAGCAAGAACACATGAGATGCTCCATCACTTTGGTGTCTGTTCCACTATAACATCTGCTTCTTTCTCCCTGCACTCCACTTTTCTCAGCTTTCCAGATGCCATGGTGGAAAATGAGTCTTCACAATTTGTGACATTGCATTCAAAGCTCTAGCCACTCAAACCAGAAGAGCATGGAAAAATGCCCAAATTTCTGTAGACAGGCGCATTGTCCCAACTCAAGGAGATGCTCATCCTTACACCAATCAGGTGTGGCCTGAGAGGCCAGGGACAAGAGAGAGACTTCATTATCATTAGAGTTTATGGGTATTTGGTCAAGTGTGTTAGTCACAAAGAGTTTCTGGGGAAAGTTAAGGGGTTTTGGTAAAGACAAATGAAGCTGAAAGACCTTCTGATATAAGTTCAAAGTTTTTCCAATAAAGAAAGACAGAGGACTTAACAGTGACACTGCTACTAATTTAGTAGTATACAGTGGGAACCTGTGTATTTGGCCAAAAAGACCTAGGAACAAACACTTCTTATGGAAGGCAGGTGACTGGGCTAGTGTCACAGGCATTTTTCAGTGTTAATATTTCAGTGTTAGTATTTGTTACTGCCAATAGCTGTCTGTCTCTCTATCAGAGAGTATGTGTGTCAGGGTATGCATGTGTGTATGTATATATGTACCTGTGTGTGTACATAAACATACATGTGTGCATCCATAAATATATATTTACACACACATACACAAATGTGGAATAACAGCTATATAAATACATAGATCCATAAACAATATAGAAATAACTAAAACAATGGGGTCATCTAATATATATATATATATATACTTAAACCTTAAGAATAATTAAATTTTATTTGATTTTGACTGAGAAAAAAACACACAGAAGAAATTACCAGTCTTCTCAGATGAATAGATTTCCTTACAAAATATATGTGACTCTACAATATCTCTTTAAGTTTCAGGAAAAAATTATCATCTAAAACACTGATATTAGATCAACCACGACATTAAAAAATACATTTCTAGTTCAGACATCTTTGATTGTCTTTCTTAATGAGAAAGACTTAGCATCAGTACATTTCAGCCCCTCACCTCCCGTTCACATTTCCATCTGTGACACTTGTGTTATCTTTACTTTGCATGAATGAATGACATTCAAATTGTGATCTGCTATCAGAATTTCTTTCACTAGTTAATCTTGTTTTTATATTTTAGTGGGTTAAATACTTACTAAAAGGATTTGAATACTTTAAAGTCTCTTACCATAGTTGCTACATGTTAAATTCCATCTTTTGAAATAGTTCATTTTTGGCTGGATTTCAAGGTTTGTATGTCTTTTTCACCAGAGGGACTTACGGGTGCCATATGATGCTGCTTCTTTGAGAAAGCCTCCGTATAGCATTTATTCTTGGAAAATGACTGGGATGGGTGCCTGGGGGGCTTAGTGGTTGAGTGTCTGCCTTCCACTCAGGTCATGATCCCTGGGTCCTGGTTTGGAGTCCTGCATTAGGCTTCCCTGCTTGGTGGGGAGTCTGCCTCTCCTTCTTCCTCTGCCTCTCCCCCATGCTCCTGCTCAAGCTCTCTCTGTCTGTCAAATTAATAAATAAAAAGTCTTAAAAAAAAAAAAAAAGAAAAGTGGGATGAGTACAATAAACTTGCATTACACTTTTTATCCCTCAGAACTTTGTAGACATTGTTGCATTAAAGGTTGCTATGGGAAAGAAATTAAATCACCTAGATATTCTCCCATCATGGTTGATATTTACTTTTTGACCAGATGACTGAAGAATTCTTTCTTTATCCTTTGAGATCAATAACTTATCGAGAATATGTCTCACTTTCTATAATTCTGAATCAATCTGTCTTTGTATATCAAGGGTCCTTTTGATCCATCCATCTAGTCTTTTCATTTCAAATTTTAATCAACTTATTCTTTGAAAAACCTTCCCCTGTTTTGTTTGTTGAATTCTCTACTTCATAGACTTGCATTATCTCTGTGTTGTGTTGTCTTTTTCTCAATTGTGAGAATATTATGTATTATTGGAAGTTGCTATTTAATCTCTTTAGTTTTTTTTTTCTATACTCAAGTGTAACTGGTATGTGTACTTTAAACCTTGATAGATATTACCAGACTACACTCCAGAGCAATTTACACCACTGGTTCCCAAATTGGGCTTGTAATACCATTGATTGAATAGTAGAGTCTCAGCCTTCCTCTCATCTGCCCAAAATTATTTGGAGAAGGAAAACCCACATTTAATTAAACAAAATCAAAAGCATGGAAACGAAAATTTCTTAGGCACTCAGATTCTCTGTCAGACTATAAATCACTGGCCTTTACCACCCTCTTTCTTGTTCCTTCAAAGCCAGGGAACTTTTCTATGCCTCTCTTTAAGTTAGCTGCCTATCTATATGTCAGCATCAGCCAAGATACACTCACCATACAGTCAGGTTAGCTGAATAATATCTAATGAAAATCACAGTGTCACAGCCAGAGCTCTCTTCACCATGAATATCTGAGAGGAATAGTAAGGGATACTCTCAACATACAGAAAGAATCACATAACTGAGGCACCAGGAAAAACATCATCCTCTTCATAATCTTGCCTGGGCTGTATTTTCTGATCATCAAAGTTATCTATTAATACCATAACTGAAGAGATGTCAGGGTCATTATCTTTTCCTGCTTTATTAAAATATTTATCTTAAATTCCAAATAAAATGAAAAGCAAGGGTAACAAATCATGCCAGCTTTTGATTCAAAAGTTAAAAGCATTGCAAAAAGAACATTTTCAGTGCTTTGAACTACTATGTTTAAAACAATTTCATCATCATCATCAGAAGGTGTTTGCCTAGGTGACTCAGTTGGTTAAACATATACCTTCAGCTCAAGTCATGATTCCAGGGTCCTAGGATCGAGCCTTGTATCAGGTTTCCTGTTCAGTGAGAAGCCTGTTTCTCCCTCTCCCTCTGCTGCTCCCCCAGCCCCACTGCTTGTGCTCTCTAACTCTCAATCTCTCTCAAATTAATAAATAAAATCATTTTTTAAAAAATCTCATCCAGAAGAGATAAGAGGTCAAGCAGGGAGAACATCGTGTTCTGCTTGACCAAGATTCCTTAGTGCCTGAAGTGACAGAGTGTTGGGGCCAGGGTTATTTCATGTTTGTATGTGACCTTTTAGGACATGTGTTTTCTTTTTCTTTTATTGGACATGCTTAGCTGTATTATTCATATGATTTCATTGAGACTGTAAACACAACCTGTTCACCTCATTCCCCAACAGGTCATCATTCAAAGTTCCAGAAACATTGCTGTCCTGGAAAATGCACAACAATCCTCTGCCCCTCAGCCCTCATAAGAAGGTTTAGATGATGGCCAGTGTCCAGATTCCCTCACAGAGTCAACATGCTTTTGATTTTTCTGAAGTTTAATTTCTCCTCAAGAGAAGCTTTCCACACTTATATTATCTAAAGTCAACATTGCCCTACAGATACGTAGACACAGAAAAGAAATGAAATCAGAATCACAGAAAACCTATAAGCCAAGGTCTACTTTTTGAACTGATAGTTTTCATCATTTTTCAAGTTTTATTTTTTTCTGTGTCTTGACTTCTACTATTTTGGTATCCCTGGAACAAGTAATCATGCTGAGCACTACACTGGTTGCCACAGGAGATGTGCAGCGTGGTGTCGTGCTGAAACTCATAAAGATGTGAATTCAAGTCACAGTTCTGTCACTTGTTGTATCTGTAAAATGCTGTCGTAAAAGTCATTTAACTTCCCCGATATCAGTGTGTGGAGTATAAGAATTTTAAATTCCACACATGGAGAAATGCTTAGATGATATTAAAGTTCAGGTGTACCTTTACTATCAGGAAGTTACATGTAGTAAAAGGTAAGTTTCATAGAGTTAAGGACGCTAAGTGTTGTCGTTATGCATACAGAAATCTTCCAGGAGGGAGGCTGTCATGCTGGTCAGGATAACCACTTCGAACTGTGGTGAAAGTTGTTTTGCAGTCCAAAACAACTTTTGGTAGAGAGAACCAAGTGATGGCACCTTAGGTTTCTGCAACATCTCTTTGCTACCTACTGAGACATTGTGTGGATTCCTGGGAATGCCTACTGGGACAAAAATATTTGAAATCAGAACATAGTGTTCCCAGTCATACTACAACATGCCCAGCTGCTTCTGTTTGATATTATGGGATCAGCTTAAAATCGGAGTCAGATAAAACCTGATATAAATACTAACTCCACAAATTTTGAAGCACATTTCAGTGCTTTGCCAAACTTCATAAACTTCCTTTTTCTCCCTCACAGGGTTGCCAAGAAGAAGAGCAAATAAGACAACATCCATGAAGTATGGTCAGTCTGTCAATATTAAGGCCAGCTTTTGAAACTCAATGAATGCCTCTCCTAAGTGTCAGATAAGAGGGACAAATGGCTAGGCTTGCCATTCTCATGGTATTTCATGAAAGAATATTTGGCCTTAGACAAAAACAACGCAATATGTTTTTTAATTAGCTTTACTGCTAGAAAGCTTTGTTCTCAGAAAGCTGGCAACAAATGCTCATTAAATGTCCCCACAGACTGCCCAGATCATCCTTTATCTTCCACTCTCTGCACACACATGGTGGTTGCCTCTGGTGTTCAGTGCCTTTCCAGGGATCAGAAGCCACCCCCACCACTGCCACTACCATTATTGTGGGCAGAAGCTTCATCATTTGAGCCTCATTCAGAAAAAAGCAGTTCCATGCTCAGAGAAACCAGTGGGAGTGCAAGTGGATTATATATGGGGAACACTGTGAAACTACCAAGATCTGTGTTTCAGGGGCTACTGTAGTGTTTTCCCAAGCTTGTAGACTGGTAAGTAGCATAGTCGGCATGTTTTCATTCACTTTTGTGAACAAATTCCCCGTGCCCTAACCTCTGCACAAAGGCCAGGCTGCAATTTTTTTTTGGTACCATAATAAGGGAAATCAAAATTTATTTATATCGAGAAACTCCCTGTTATGGATTGAATTGTGTCCCCCCCCCACCTCAAATGTATATGTTGAAGATGTAACTCCCAACATCTTAGAATTTGAATGTATTTGGAAATAGCATCTTTGCAGATGTAAAGACAGACTCACTATTGTGAGTGGTCCTTATAAAAGGGGTGAATTGGAACACAGACACACATGAGGAGATACCATGTTAAGATGAAGGCATTGATGGAGCATGCAACTCCTGATCTTGGGGTTGTGAGTTCAAGCCCCATGTTGGGTTTAGAGAGTACTTAAAATAAAAAATCTTTTTAAAAAATGAGCAGCTAGATAGGGACCCAGTGACTAATAACCCATGTTTTGCAAAGCTTGATGTATGGGTCCCTAAGGTCCACAGAGGGCCATCTCTTTGAAGAGGCAGATCAGCCAAAGGCAGGGAAGCTTCACCCTTCTCCTAAACTTTTGTTCCAGGTCTTACTAAAATGGAAGGATTAAGTTTCTTGGGAAGGATGAGGTTTCTTAAAGGATCTGGGTATAGTCCCACCATAAAATAAGTATAAACTTAACTTTGCCTATTTATTTTATGCCAAAAAACAACCTGTTGAAATACATTAGTGATCTGTCATACCCAGGATGCTTCTCCTTTGTTGCCAAGAATTCTCTTATAAAAGATGACTAAGACCAAAATTCCAGCTCTTGGATGCAACTGGGTACGGACTGAGATAGTCATGAGTCACACTCAAGCTCAACCGGACAAGAGAATACAGCTTGCTTTATTAAGTCAATCATAACATTTGAAATCTGAAACATATATTGAATTATTTTCTCTTAAAAGTCCGAGCTTTCTTTTAAAAGTGTTCATTTACAGACGGTCCATTGAACAGATGAAGTATTTAGTCATGGTTTTTCCTTTTCTCTCTAACATATGTTTATTCCCAAGAAGTTTCCATCAATTCAGTAGAAGCAACAACCCTGCCAAAATGAAAAAGAAGATCATTCCATACTTACAGGATGTTTTGTTTCTTTGCATATCAATAAGTCTCTTTCAAGTTGCTGTGCTTCACTTGGTGCCCAAAATAGAGCTCCCCAAAACACTTTAGAAAATGAACTGTCTTACAGAGTTGAGAACCCATTGTTAATCATTGCTTTCTCCCTGAATGTGCGAAACATGCACATCATTCTCTTTCTCTTCCTATCCCTCACCCTCCCTCCTCTTGCATTTTGATTTGGTCCACTGTTATGACTTCTCTCATCCTGATTTCAAGATTTCACAGGTGGAAGATGTATGGCTGTGCAATACTGGTACTCCTTGTTTCATGATAGATAATGAGTTTTAATAAATTCCGTAAGGAAAATGCTCATTGAATTAAAAATATATATATTTTATGCAAAAATTACTACAACCTTGCTGATGCTGAGAATAAATGCTATGACAGCACTGGAGTTAATGCTCTTCCTGGCTCTAACCTCCCAAAATGAAAACATAGATAATTGATAACAGGTTTGGGTGTGGGAAAAAATTCAGCAATAAGGGAACATCTGCAGAGTGTTATGTGTTAGGGGATGCTATTAATAGATTATTGCTGGCTCCCACCTGGGGAATGAGCAAGGAAGTTAAATCTGGTATATCTATAGAGGTTTAATTTTAAAAAAGGTTTTCTCTAACCCCCTGTGTTTGTATGTGTTTTTGTCACTCCAGTATTTATTCTTGTAAGTAGCAAGTCAGGCTTTTGAGTGTAGTACAAAACACAGTGATAGTGAGGAACAATATATATATTCATTCAATTCTAACTGGTATGTCCCAACTTTCACCAGCTTTTAAGAAAAAAATAGTTCATATTTAATCTCTCCAACTTTTTTGTTTCTAAGTCTCCAGGTGTTCATGTAAGAAAGTGCAGTTTTTTCTCCCAGATCCTTTTCAAGTAATTCCCAGTTCCTTGGAGTGTTCACAAATGCCTGAGAATCAGTTCTGCCATTCTTTCAGGCTCCTGGGGATAGATGAGCTTCCCTTTACATATGCCTTGATGCTATTGTTCGCAACCATTGGCCACCACGGTAGCCATTTGGAAAATTTGCCACTGCTGTGATCACCAGAAAGGATAGAACTTAGCACCCCCAAAATCCAGACAATGATGGGAGGTGGAGTGGAAGAACAGGAGGAACGTTATCTCAGATAAAGTTTCTTCATTTCTAATGGGTTTCTGGTAAGCAGAAGTTTTCCAAAACGTCTAAATCCTAATCGCTGGAACCCATGCATAGATTACCTTAAAAGGAAAAGGGGACCCCTGCAAATGTGATTAAGGTTAAGGACCTTGAGATGAGTAGGTTATCCTGGACTCAACCTAATCACATGAGTCCTTCAAAGCAGAGAACCTTTTTCCCAGCTGAAGTCAGAGACAAAGGGAGATGTGAAGAAGGAAGAAGGATCCAAGAGATGCAATGTTGCTGGCTTTAAATTAGAGGAAGGGTGCCATGAGCCCAAATATGTAGGTACTTCCAGAACCAGGAAAAGACAAGGAAGCAGATTCTTCTCTGGAAAGAAATGCAGCCCTACTCACACCTTAATTTTCACCCAGTGAGATCTGTGTTTAATTTCTGACCTACAAAACTGTAAGGTAATAAATTTGTGCTTTTAAACCACTAACTTTATAATAATTTATTATGGCAGCAATAGAAAACTAATAACAGGGTTATTGTGGTTTAGCAATTTGGCTTTTTCCTTCTGTCATTATGGACTGGAGCCTCCAATCAGGTTACTGCCTGCTGCTCGCTTCAGGGCTCACTCATCAGCGGTCAGCCCACCGTGAGTAGGCACAGAGGGAGGAAGACATGTTTTCCCTTTATACTACACTCAGCAGAGGTGGCCATCAGCCAACGTGTGACAGCTCTTCTAGTCACTCACCCTGAGTACAAGCTCTTCAATAGGGTGGCTGACTGCCGGAAGTAGCAAATTACTGATTTCAAAATCGACATTGCCTTTTAACCTTCACCTCTAATACTGAAATCTGTCTTCAATTCAAATTTGTTTGTGCTCAGCTTCTTCAGTGCTGCTATGCTACTCTTTCCAAACTCGAACTTCACCTCTTACCACTAGAGTACTGTGGGAGTCATACCGTACTGGTTCTGAACATGGCCCTTAACTCTCCCTGCTTGTTCGACAGCAGTCCCTAACCAGGACAGCAGTCCATAACCAGGACAGTCCATACCCAGGCATCTCCTTCAGTCACTTCTCATTTAATGTGTCAGCACCATGTTTAATGTGCAGGCATACTAATTGTGGGATTTCTCCAAGAGGCAAGCAGTATACCCAGGCTCCATCCAGGGAGCAAACCATCAGCAGCTAGGC